ACTAAAAAAAAAAAAAAAATCTGAGTAATAAAATTCAGCAACAAATTATACAATCCAGACAACTACAGTGATATAAGGGATATAGTTTAATATGACTGGAGTTATAATCAACTGCAAAAATAGCATGTGTCAATGGACCTTTTCTTAGATTATACTGAAATCTTTTACTATAGGGCTAAGGACGCTGAAACAATTCCACAGCTGGAAGAGACTTAAACACTAATTTAAAGATTAGGAAAATGCCGGGCTCGGTGACTCAGCCTGTAATCCCACGCCTTTGGGTGGCTGAGGTGAGTGGATTCCTGAGCCCGCGGGTTGGAGACCCGCCTGGGCAGCGAGACCTCATCTCTACAATAAATCAAAAAATCAGCCGGGCGTGGTACCGCATGCCTGTAATTCCGGCTACTCGGTAGGCTGAGGCGGAAGGATTGCCGGAGCCCAGCAGGCGAGGCTGCAGTGCCCGGGAGCGGCCACTGCACTCCAATCTGAGCGACCGAGTGAAACTCCAACTCAAAAAAAAAAAAAAAAAAGGATTAGGAAAATGAGGCTCAGAAAAATAAAACAACTTTCTCCGAGTCACTCAGTGAAGAAAAGGCAGAGAAGGAACCTGAACCCAGTTTTTAACTCCAGTGACTCATCCAAAGCTCAAATGTAGGTCTACTGCATCCCAACCATACGCCACACTGCCTCACCTAAAAGGTGACAAGCAGCAGCAGATGAGTTTCTCTCTTTGAAAAGCCAGCTATCACTGGCTGACTTTGCATTGACTAGCCTCACCAGAGGTCTTATCAAGTGAAGTTAGTTTAGTTTCCAGCCTGAGCAGGAGCTATCCACCCCAATGTGTGCATTTAACATATCATATTGTTGACACTAAATACGAGAACTTGGGCTCAAACTGCCAGATTAAATTTAAGTCAAATCCTAGTACTGCACATTCCAGCAAGTTGACTGTGTAAAGGCAAACTGGCTGAAAAAGATGAATTACTGTGTTAATTTCAATTTCTTCCTAGGTTATGGCCCCTCTGGAACACAGGCAGATTTTAACACTTGAGGTTCTAAGAGTAACCTGACACTTTGCTTGAGGTTCTAAGGTGCCCACGCACTTACAGCTAATTATGTAGCAGAACCTGTATTTAACTGACTTCTGTTGACTCCAAATCTTTCATGTCTCTTGCTTCCACTCTAAAAATGGTTTGCTTTCTCTGGTGCTTAAGTGGGTGAAAGCAACATTTCACAGAATACTGTAAAGTGGAACTGTGTGTGAAACATTGGTCACTAGAATATTTTCTAGCCTAGGACTTTTAAAACTTGTTCTTTTACGTGTTTCAGAGCTGCTCAGCCCTTCAAAAAAAAGTTTGACCTTCAGCAATGACTTTTCTTCCAGTTGAATCAAAGACATCTGACTACATGACAAAGAACCTGCTGTGGGGCCCTGGGAAAAATATTTAGAGAAGCCATTATTTCCTGCACCTAAATTTCCTCTCAATCAACAAGCTGAGCACTTTCAAATAGCAGTTTTCACCTTCATAAGCCTATGATTTTTCTTGTCTGAGCCCCAAGAAGTCCATTTTCGCCTCTCAGTCTCAAAGTAAATGAAAAAAAAGTTACTACTGTTAAAGATAAACACAGTCAGACTTTATTAAAGTGGTGAAAACATTTTATTCCTTGACAGTAGGGGAAAGCACTAAGCTCAATTCTGAATTGTGCAGAGATGATTGGGCGTTTCAAAGAGAAAATGAGGGAGAGGAGGGGGCTAGCAGGCCACAAGTAGCATCAGAGAAATGGAAAATTACAAAGGGTTGATTAGTGTAAATGCGATGCTAGCTGGCAACTAGGAAGTTAGAATTTTGTCCTCCCAGAGACTGGGAGACCAAGGCCCTATCCTTCCTGATGATTACATTTCAAAGGATTGAAGTCTCTCGGGTCCCTGAAAGAGACACTTCTGAGTAGGAAGAAATACATATTCACAATTGTAAGCTTGCTTAGTAAACGCCCCCCAAAAAAGGTCTAGGTCTATCAATCAAGTGTTGGCTAGAACAAATAGTGAATCCTCTTGGCAGCTTTAAGTTTTATCAGTCAGGCAGTTTAATGGGAGACTGGGGTCTTCCCAGGGACACTGCCTCATGCTGCTAGAATCCATGCTGGAGCTTGGATGTCTCTCAGTGCCGAGGTTTTGACTGAATGTGCTGGGAATTCTGCAGTTCTCACCACCCCAGAGTAGTCCTGATCCTTATCTTCCTACTTAGTACAGTTTTTAGAAAGTCAGTAGATGAAGGTAAAACACAAATTAAAAAACTTTGTTAAGCGCTGTAGTCGCCCTAGCAGAGACAGAAATCTGGGTTTCGGACGTGAATTGCTTTATTTTAAGCATCCTCAGATTCTCTGAGAAAAAGGACAGGATGAGGAAAAACAACAGAACACTCCCACAGAGATAGGACCACAATGAAAAGACCTAAACGTCAGAGTCAAAACTGGTTTTCTGCTTTCTCACTGGGGGGGAGGGGGCAGTATATTAATGGAGGTCTGAACAAGGTGCGGTGGTGAGAGCAAAGCGAGTGCCTCAGAAACACAGGGCACGTTGGCAGGATCTTGGAAAATGAGTAAGGGATGCAAGATTGAATCCGACGTCCATGCTAGGGCGATTCGATTCAATCCCCACGTTGTCTTAGGGACTCCTCCTACGAGTATATGCCTCCCATCGCAGTAAACGTCCCTTCTCAGAGCATTTATGAAGCCTCGTTGGCTTTTCCGTCCCTCTGCTAAACTGGGAGCTCTGTGAGGGCAGAGGTGGCGAAGGTTCAGCTGTATCAATCCAGTGCCCAGCTCAACAAGGGTATGTGGAATGAATGCCACTATTAATGGGAGTAGGCCGGACGCCTTTTCCTGTGGGCTGGGATCGCTCTGTCCAGCCTACTTCATTCAGGAGGATTGTGTGATGGGCCATCACAGAGCCTCCCCTCGGACTCACGAAAAGAGCCTGGGGAAACGGCCCAGGGAACAAGGAACCTCGCAGGTGGCCCAGGGTACAGAAGGAGCGCGCTCCGGGCAGGCGCTCCCGGACCTGTGAGCGCCGCTAGTACGGTTCTTTTACTTACATTCGCGAGGGGAAGATCTCAATTCGGTCTTTGCCCGACATTCTGACGATGACTGTGGGGTTCGGCTCCCCGACCCGGCAATCTTGGTTGCAATAGTTCCACCACGGGCCGCCACAGCGACTTCCTCTGTGGGAGTCAGCTGGCTGGAGTCACTTGACCCCTCTAGTTGCTAAGAGGCAGCAAGGATACCCACATTTTTACTTCCTCTTCCTGTTGTCATGGGAGGGGAGGGGGTGGACTGAACGGAGGCGATGCCCGGATGTCCAGGCGCACGCATCGCGGAACCGCCCCTCAGTTCTGGTTTGCCTCCCAACCCCTCCCCCCACAGTTCCCCAGCGGCTGCGTAAAGCGCTGCACGCGCCTGGCCAAATAGGAGAGAAGGGTACGCTCCTTCCCCTCCTCCGCTTGTCATCGTTGGTCGCAGCGCCATCTCCTGGTTGACAAAAACTTTGAGTGCGGATTCATTCTTCAGGGACAACAAATCAGAGTCCTATCTCTTCTTGGCGCCTTGAAAATTAGTTAGCCAACTAAAGATAAGCTAAAGATAGCGACAAACCGTACTTTTCGGGTCTTCCTATGATCTACATTCTTTCTAGTTCTCGGAGGACCCAGACTCTATGGTTAATGATGACGAAGGATCTCTATTCTGTCTGCGCCTGCGCGATGCGAGGTGGTTGCGCATGCGCGGTGTGGCTGAGCGAAGCGCACGCTGAGGAGGATCCGCGGCTGTTGCGGGTGTATCCAGTCTTGATCTCTCGGCTTCCAGAGCGCGGCGTAGGACCCCAGGGCGGGATTCACACACATACCTCAGGTGACTAATCCCACAGCTCGGTTTCCCAAAGAACTCCCTTTGGTTTGTGTCCAGTGACACGGGTGTTGGAGGGAGGGTAGGCCCCGGGCTAACACCTCCTTCCTTTCCTGTCCCTGCGCGGGAAGTGGCTGGACACCGCCGTCGCCACCCGCGCTGTCGTGGGCCTCCTCGCCCGCTCCGGGTCGGTCATCCTGTGTTCCAGAGGCATCGTCGTCCGAGCAGCGGAATCTCGTGAAGGAACGTGGGCCGGGTGGATTGTATAGTCTCTTCGGTGTTCTTCAAATGAGCGTGTCTGATGGTGGGGCGGCCTCGGGGGGAGCACCGGAGCACCCAGCCCTCACCCCCGGCCCAGCACGCGGGCCACTTTGGTTTTTGCAGGCCTGAGGATGTCACCTAATTTTTTTTTTCTTTCGCCCCAACAGTACTACCAAAACTGTCCCCTGCTTCTCAGGGGAGACCAAACCTGACTCTTAAAGAAACCTGTGGGGTGGGCCACCGTGTTGAAAAGAGCTGGGTCCGAGAATAATTCAGTCATCTGAGAGTTGAACCTCAGATTACCTGATCGCTCTAGTTGTGCATTTCTGTAGAATGAGTCACCCTTGAATTGAAACTAAATCATACTGTTGCGTTTATTACTGTTAGTATCGGCTTGTGTTTTGGCGACAATGACAGTAGAACTGTGGTCTTACTGTCAAGCGTAATTAAAAGTTTAAGATAAGAGACTATTTTAGGTTTAAATGCATTCATTCTGAGGTCCCTTTATCCCCCAAACTTAGGCAGCTTAATTTTCATTAAACAAGCATGGTTTCTTAGAGAAAACGTGTAGCAGAGAAGTCTTGATTTTCTTCCAATTGAGTTGTTGTTGAAGGAAAAACTTCTAACTCTGTGTCAACACTTTGGGAATTACTTATATAGAACTTTGCTGTCTATTCTCAGTTCAAATGATGCCAGATGACAGTTAATGATTCTCAAAGGATGTGGTTATCTGATGCACAGTAATGTTTGTAGAGGTTTGGTGATATTTATTTCAACTATAATGAAATAAAATTGTTAGTTATGTAGCACTTCTATACCAAGAATTAGCATTCAGAGATCATTCCTAGTGTTTAAATAGAAGCTAAATGATCACAAGTTGTCCCCATCACATAATGCACTTTGGAAAAGCACTTGTGTAGTTTGACCAGACGCTGTTTTAAGAAGTCCTTCCTATTATTGTCCAATACCTGCAGGGTATTTGAAATTAGCCTGGAGTTTGGTTAATACATTTTGAAAGTTGATGGTATTTTTTTCATCAGAACACATACTGTATTGTAGTGAGTTGTAATATCAAGACTCTGACTTAAAAGACTCCCTGATTTAATGTCAGAAGATTTGGGTTTAGCTCCTGCTCTAGTACTTATTAAGTATTTGTCCTTGAGGGAGTAATGTAATATTCCTGTTTCTTGGATTCCTGTTAATTGATTTCTTGACTGTGCTTCTTTCATAATACCTAGTATTGTAATTTGCTTACTGGTTTGTTTCCCACTCTGTACATCATTCCTTAGGTAAGAGTGTTTCTTATATCAGTAGTGCTTAGTATGTAGTAGATACTGCCACAAAAATTGTTTAACAATTAAATTATAAAATAGAAAAATACCTCCTTTGTCTTTTAATATTTTATGTTTATATAAGACTTTACATTTTTCAAAATGTTTTTATATATATTTCATTTGATACTCCTAACAAGCCTGTGAGGTACATGACACCGATGAGAAACCAGTTCAAAAGGGATTACCGCCAGGCTCGGTGGCTCAGCCTGTAATCCCGCACCTTTGGGAGGCTGAGGTGAATGGATTGCCTGTGCCCACGGGTTCGAGACCCACCTGGGCAGCAAGACCTCATCTCTACAGTAAAATAAAATTAGCCGGGCGTGGTAGCACGCGCCTGTAATTCCGGCTCCTCGGAAGGCTGAGGCGGAAGGATCGCCGGAGCCCAGCAGGTCGAGGCTGCAGTGGCCGGGAGTGGCCACTGTACTCCAGTCTGGGCGACAGAGTGAGACTCCAACTCAAAAAAAAAAGGGGGGAGGGGGATTACCTTTCCCAAGCAAGTAAGTAGAACCAGGACTAGAACTCTGATCTAGGGCTGGTCCCAAAATTCGCTGTTTGCTTGCCTGACTTGACACTTGTTGAGGGCTACTAAAATAAGCCAGAATGCCTTGAAAATGATAGAACTGAGTAAGTACCTAGTGTGGCTTCTGTATTCCTGGATGATTTTTTAAAAAGTAAAAAAAAAAGACAACTTTTTTTTTAAGTTATTAGCATTTCATAAGGCAATATGTTCAGAATCTATCAACCAATATGCAGGTTCTTTGTGATATGGATTCTTTTTGTACTACTTGCTGTCTTTACTGTGAATAACATACCATCTACAGTATTTCTTTACTACCGTTTATATTGCAAAGAGACTTGTGCCTCCTAAAGAAGTAGTATTCATATTTATATCCCTTTAGAACTCTTTTGTACCATTGCCTGTGTTCTCTAACTATCGAATTAAGCCTTGCTGTTCCACACCTTTCCATGACATCATTTATTTTGATACCTAGCTTGAAACTTTTTTTAGCTTTCAGATTTGGAACTTCACATGCTGATCTTCAACAAAAGTTCCCCTGCTGCTCCCCACTGCTCCTCCCCCCTATCCCCAAAGCCCTGTTTAAAAACAAAACTACCAGCTCAGCTGTTTCTTGATGGATAATTCTGGCCATTGAATGTCTACTTCTCTATCTGCTAAATCTCTGTTTTGTCAGACTACAAGAAAATGCGTCTCTGCCACTGTCATTAATATGCTGATTTTTGTTGTTAAATGGGACAGATAAGTACTAATAGTTTGCACTAATTGGTGGTATATGCTCCAGCACTAAATATGTATGTCAGTGTTGCTTTTTGTTAAGTAAGGTGTTTCTAATTGTGATACATTTATGAATATCATTGAGAGAAAATATAGTCTGATCAGTAAAAGCACAGACTCTGAATCCAAACTTCACAGGTTCAAATCCTGACTCTTACTGTTTGACAGCAGTATGTGAAAGAACAAGTAATCTAACCTATGTTTCAGTTTCTCTATCTGTAAAATGGGAAGAACTGAGGAGAAAGGGGTACTGCAAGGAGGTGGAGGGTGGCCAGATCATAAAGGATCCTATAGATAGTGGAAAGATATGTGAGTCTGTAGAAAGCCACTAGGAAGATGCATAGAGGTGCCAGTTAATAAGTTATTAAAATGAATTTTCACAAATTTTTCTTAGGCCTTTATGTTCTGTTACTGCCCATCTTTTGAGCTCTGACAACAGTTAATAGATTAAAGTTATATGAAAATCATCAGCCATGATTGGGAACTTCCTTTTTAAAGTATAGTTCTCCCCCATATTATGATTTCAGGTTTATGGGTCATAAAAAGGAGTGGTGTTGAAAGTAGGTTGGGTGGATCAAGGGGAATAATTTTAAATATCATTAGTGATTGGAGGTTAAAAGAAACTTGAACTTTGTAGTAATGGAGACTTATAAAGCTATTCTCAAGATGAGGTATACTGATTAAACAACAAAAGGAATATTTAAGTTTCTCTTAAAAGAAAAAAAATTAAGAGAGGAGGAGGCATTTAGCTTAGTTTTTGTCTTGACATATACTGTAATTTTGGCTATAATAAATGATAAGATTTGTGATTTGGTATATTGGTTAGGGTTTGGGTAGCTAAAAAAGTTTTCTGTTTATATAGTAGGTGATAGCATGTATAGTCTTAGCTGATTTGGAGAAAGAGTAGCTTTAGTTTTGCTGATAGGATATAATAGCAGTGATGCTTCCCATCATTTGATAATCCTTAAATTGGCAGTATTAAAGTAGTATTTTACTCTTGAGTTATTCCTTTAATCCTTATGCCTCAGAGTACTTTATAGATAGTCATTATTATTTATGATTTCTCTAAAAGTGGTGGCAGAGAATCACTCAAGCCTTACAAAAATGTGAAGCAAAATAAAAGTTAAAGCTTGGTTTCTGAGCCTCTGTCTGTTTTCTGGTACTATTTAAGAAGTTTAAAGAGATGAGAAGGCCAGTAACTATGTTTATTGCCAAGATGTGGACAATTGATGTTTATTTTGATCTTAACCGAATGCTTATTTGATTCTTTTGTTTAAATTGCAGAATGCCGGGTCTAAGTTGTAGATTCTATCAACACAAATTTCCTGAGGTAGAAGATGTAGTGATGGTGAATGTAAGATCCATTGCTGAAATGGGGGCTTATGTCAGCTTACTGGAATACAACAACATTGAAGGCATGATTCTTCTTAGTGAATTGTCTAGAAGGCGTATTCGTTCTATAAACAAACTCATCCGAATTGGCAGGAATGAATGTGTGGTTGTCATTAGGGTGGACAAAGAAAAAGGTAAGTGAGAAAAATATCTAAAATAAATTTCACATTTTAAATCGTTTATTTAAAAATATATTTTTTGTAAACTCTTTTAATACTTTTTTATACTCTTAATACCCAAAGTTGTTAGAAAAGCATGCCAGGCCTTGCTAGCTATAGTGAGGCTATGTGCTCCTCGGCCCCCTCCCTACCTCTTTTTCTGTCTTATATGCTTTTAAAATAAACTATATTTTCTAATCTAAAAAAAAAGAAAGAAAAGATGACAATGCTAGATAGTCATCACAAAGCAGGATCTCTTAAGTTAGTAGTTAATAAGTACATCGCAGGGTTTTTTTGGGTTAAATAACCTGAATTTTATTTCCAGTGTTTATCAGGATCTTGGTAATTGACTCATGGTAAGCAAGCTCAAAATATATAAGTAAAGCAGAGTACTAGTGCGTCATCTACTTTGTTAGGCCTGAATGTATTGGAAGGCTTTTGTTGAGTTAAAGCTAAATCAGTAATGAGTTTATTGAGTGAGCATGGAAGTGAGGCAGATAAGTTTTAGGAATCTTTTATATGAGCTTTGAGAAAGCAGTATACTATGTGTGCATGTAAACACCTGAAATCCAGTATTTTATATTTCTCTAGTAATGAGAATGTTTGTGTCCCTCAGATCCTTCGTACCTTTCACATATTGTTAGATGGATATTCAGTTTTTACTTATTGGTTGCCTTTTTCTAGGCCCCAGGTGAATACTTTTTCTTTTAAACACAGTGTGCAGTTCCATTAAGTCGGTTTTGGTTTCAGCTGTCTTACTATAATTTATTAGGTGTTAGTTTTAGGTCATTATTTACCATCATGCTTGAAAAACTGCGTATCAGTCACTTGATTAGACTCAGTCAATTACCTGAATTTCCTCAACCATGTAGTTTACTGATATTTTCTCACTTCTGTGGTTAATTTTATATATACTGGCATTTTAGATTTTTTTCTGATTATAGTCTTAGATGATACACTTTGAGGATGTCTTTTGTTATCATTCAGCACATTGATTGTTCTAAATGTTTTAATATGACTCACAGCCTTCCCAAAATTATTAAATTACTTTAAGATTGAGACTATTCCTTTAGCTTGTATAAGTCTTCACATCACTACCCTAGTAGTACCTAGAATAGTGTCTTATCCTTTACTTTTCTGTTATATAAAATATATACAAAAGAAAAGAATACACACACATACACAAGTGCTGGGAACATTGGATCGCTACCTGCAGAAAAATGAAACTTGATCCCCATCTCTCCCCATATACAAAAATTAACTCAAGATGGATTAAAGATTTAAATGTCAGACCTGAAACCATAAAAATCATAAAAGAAAACCTAGGAAAAACTCTCATGGACATTGCCTAGGCAAAGAATTTATGACTAAAACCCCAAAGGCAAATTCAACTAAAACAAAAATAAATGTACTTAATTAAACTAAAAAACTCTGCACAGCAAAAGATATAATCAATAGAGAAATAGGCAGTCTACAGAATGGGAAAATATATTCTCAAACTATGCATCTGACAAAAGACTAATATCCAAAATCTACAAAGAACTCAAACAAATCAGAAAGAAAAAAGCAAATAACCCTAAAAAGAGAACAAATGACATGAACAGACATCTCTCAAAAGAAGATATACAAATGCCAACAATGACCAGCTGCGGTGGCTCACGCTTGTAATACCAGCACTTTGGGAGACTGAGGTGAGAGGACTGCCTGAACCCATGGGCTCAAGACAAACCAGGGCAACATGGCAAGACCTCATCTCTACAATAAATCAAAAAAATTAGCTGGGCGTGGTAGTGCATGCCTGTAGTTCCAGCTAGTTGGAAGGCTGAGGTGGAAGGATTGCCTGAACTCAGCAGGTTGAGACTGTGGTAGCCATGAGCATGCCACTGCACTCCAACCTGGGCAACAGAGTGAGACTCTGACTCAAAAAAAAACACACACAAATGGCTAATGAACATGAAAAAATGCTCAACATTCCTCAGCATCAGGGAAATGCAAATTAAAAACACAATGAGATACCACCTCACACTGGTCAGAATGGCCATTATTAAAAAATCAGAAAACAATAGATGCTGGCGTGGGTGTGGAGAAAAGGGACACTTGTATACTGTTGGTGGAGATGTAAATTGGTAAAACCTCTATGGAAAGTGGTATGGACATTGCTCAAAGAAAAAAGTAGATCTATCATTTGATCCAGCAATCCCATTACTAGGTATTTACCCTAAGAGAGGTCATATTACAACAAAGACACCTTCACCCACATATTCATCGCAGCACAAATCAACCTAAATGTCTATTAACTGGTCAGTAGATAATGAAAATGTGGCATATATACACCATGGAATACTACACAGCTATAAAAAAGAATAAAATCATGTCCTTTGTAGCAACATGAAGCTGTAGATCATCATCCTAAGAAAACTGACTCAGAAGCAGAAAACCAAACACTGCAAGTACTCACTCATATGTGGGAGCTAAATGGTCCAAAGATGGAAATAATAGATACTGGGGACACTAAAAATGGGGAGAGGGAGAGGAGACTAGGGTTCAGAAACTGCCTTCAGGGCACACTGTTCAGTATCTAGGGAATGAGCCACCTGAAACCCTATCCCGACCACTACACAATATGTCGATATAACAAATATATGTGTGTGCCCCTGAATCTAAGATTAAAAATACACACACACACACACACACTCACACACAAGAAGGAGTCAAAAGTTTTTAGTTGTAATCAGAAAAACAAAATGAAAAGTATGCCTGCATAACTAATAGATACATGTGGGAATGTTTTTGTAGCAGCATTTATACACTGTTAATTAAAACCAGGAAGTGATCAAAACGGGAACCTATTAAATCATAACAAATCCATACAATGCAGTTTTATACAGAATAAGGGCTGAATTTCCTCTTTTTTTTGAGTGGGAGTCTCACTCTGTCACCCAGACTAGAGTGCAATGGCTGCTCCCGGCCACTGCAGCCTCGACCTGCTCCGGCGATCCTTCTGCCTCAGCCTTCCCAGTAGCTGGAACTACAGGCAATCCCACCTGGCTAATTTTTTGATTTGTTGTAGAGATGAGGTCTCACCAAGTTGCCCAGGCGGGTCTTGAACCCGAGGGCTCAGGCAATTCACTCACCTCAGCCTCCCTCTAGTATAGGGCGATCCCCAGGGTAGAATAAGAAAACATGAAAAGTGCAAAAGAGCCTATAGAGGTCATCCATTTTTGACTAGAGGATTAGGTTCTGCTGGACAAACTTCCTAACAGCTATAAAATTTGTACAAATGTTTAAAAAAGAAAAACAACTTAAAGACAAGGAGGAACAACCAAAAGCAGGCCAAAAGCTGAATGTTAGCTGTCACTTAAAAGAAAGGAACTATACTGGGTATGTTTTCTGTTTTATACCTTTTTTTTTTTTTTTTTTTTTTGCTTAAGTGCATGCTGAAGACAGCTTCAGGCAGCTAAGGTTCTAGTGGAAAACCTTCAATCCTACTGACTTAAGAACTAAAGACTAGAATTTTAAACAACCACAGTAGATAGAAAGTGATGGTGGTAGAGATGGGACTTAAAAAAAGGAAAGAGACACAAAAGAAGAGCCCCTAAGTCTAGATATAAATTCTGTCCAAATCTCCAGCTGACTCTGAAACTACTGATAACTAGGTGAACTCCAAGAAGCCCAAAAGGCTAAAACTCTATACAGATTTCAGTTGTTTCCTATCTGGAGAGACAGAGCTTATAGTTTTTAAGTTCAGACAAGCTAACTGCATACTAAAACAAAGCAAAAAAAAAAAAAAAAATCACTTTGTTAAGTTGAACATATGGGAATCTAGAGTCTCTGCCACTCTTCATTTACAGAGTCCAGGATACAATATAAAATTACTAAACATACAAAGAAACAAGAAAATATGTCCCATACCGAAGAGAAGGCAGCCAATGGTGAATGACTGAGAGATGATCCAAATGTTAGAGTTAGCAGACAAGGATTTTAAAGCAGAAATAACTACTCAAGCACATTAGGAAAACATGCTTGTAAGGAATGAACAAATGAAATCTCAGAGAAATTAGAAACTCTCAAAGAACTAGAGTCAAGTGTCACTTAATGAAGGGATATGTTCTAAGAAATGCATCTTAAGGCGATTTTGTCATGTGAATGTCAGAGAGTGTAGTTACACAAATCTAGATGGTACAGCCTATTATACACCTAAGCTATATGATACACCTATTAATCTGAGGCAGCAAACCTGTACAACATGTTACTGTAGTGAATACTATAGGCAGTTGACACAGTTTCTATTTGTGTATCTAAACATAGAAAGGGTACAGTAAAAATACAGTATAAAACAAAGAATGTGACTAGGCACAGTGGCTCATACCTATAATCCCAGCACTTGGGGAGGCCAAGCAGGAGGGTTGTTTAAGGCCAGGAAATTGAAACTAGTTTGGACAACCTGGCAAGACCCTGTCTCTACAAAAAATGTATTAAAAATAAATAAAAGATAAAAACGGTACAAATGCCGGGCTCGGTAGCTCAGCCTGTAATCCTGCGCCTTTGGGAAGCTGAGGTGAGTGGATTGCCTGAGCCCGCGGGTTCGAGACCCACCTGGGCAGTGAGACCTCATCTCTACAATAAATCAAAAAATCAGCCAGGCATGGTAGTGCATGCCTGTAATTCCGGCTACTCAGAAGACTGAGGCAGAAGGATCGCCGGAGCCCAGCAGGTCGAGGCTGCGGTGGCCGGGAGCGGCCACTGCACTCTAGTCTGGGCGACCGAGTGAGACTCCAACTCAAAAAAAAAACAAAAAAACGGTACAACTATATAGGACACTAACTGTGAATGGAGCCTAAAGGACTGGAAATTGCTATGGATGAGTCAGTGAAACACTTTACATTAGGTGACACTAAATTTATAAAAAATAAACTGTGATGTTACTAGACAGTAGGAATTTTTCAGCTCCACTGTAATTTTATAGGACTGCCATC